TTCTTTGTCTGCATTGTTCAATTGAGAGGTCTGATGTTAGTCCCATGGGGTAACCTTTGTACATAAACTGGTGTTTCTCTCTAGCCATTTTTAGCATATTGTCTTGGATTTTACCAGTTTGGCTATGATATGCCTTGGAGAGAATCTTCTTATATATATGTGGTGTCCTTTGAATTTGAATTTTCCTGGATTTAGATATCCATATGCCTCTCTAAATTTGGAAAGTTTTCAGCCAATATACCATGAAAGAGGTTTTCTATGCCTTTACTTGTCTCTTTGCCTCTGGAATACCTATTATGTGGATATTTGGCCATTTATGATATCTATAATTTCCTATATGTTGCCCTGGTTTTTAATAGTACTCCATTCTTTTTGGTTGCTTGGACTAACTTGAAGGCTATGTGTACAAGCCCAGAGATCTTTAGTCTGCCTGGTCTAATTTGCTGTTAATACTTTTAAGGGAGATTTTGATTTCATGCATTATATTTTTTACCTCCAGAAGTTTTGTTTGATTCTTTTTTAGGGTGTTCCTTTATGAAATTCTTCCTTCAAGTTATGGAAGGATTTTCTCAACTCCTAGAATTGTTTGTCTGTTTTCTCTTACATCTCATTTTCTTATGTTATAATGAAGATTCTGAATTATTTTTCTGACATTTCTGTGATCTCTTCTTTTATCTATTGTTGGTGAGGAGTTATTACGTTCCTATGAGGGGGTATTTCCTGGCTTTCTCCTATTTCTTGTGACTCTGCTTTGATTTGTAGTCATCTGTTAAAATACTCACTTCTTCCTACTTCTTTTGAGAACATTTATGAAACTGAGTGCTCATACACTCCCTATGATGTGAGTTAGCCCTGTCTCAGAGTCCCTCCTCTACTGTGGGTGGGAGTATGGAATCCACAGTGAAAGTTTGGCATTCAGGGTTCCAGAAAGGAGTTTCTCTCCTTTTACTTCTGGGGGGCTTGAGGAAGAGAATTCCTTCAAAACCTCATCATTTTCATTTTTTTTAAATAAAATAAAAATTCATTATTATTATTATTTTTATACTGAATCACTGTGTATCATTATAGCATACAAAATGAGTTTTCCCAGCATGAATAAACTGTATAATAGTCCAAAGATATTATCATCCATATTATCATTGACAGATAATTTTCTATTTTTTTTTTTTGAGAGATTTTCGCTATAAGGCGTGTACGCTCGCCAGACAGACAGAGAGAGACATAGAAACAGAAAGCGAGAAATCATCCCCCAGAGGGGATGGCCATGTCACAGTCCCTTCTCCTCCATTCTCCTCTCAGGATCTTGGACATGCATGCATATGTACCTGTCATGAGTTTAAGATGCCAGGTCTGGGACTCAAACTGCGGTTGACAACATAGGAGTCCAGCGACATAGCTAGTATGCTAACTGCTGGTCCCTGATAGTTAACTTTGAGCATCAATTTTACTGAATTAGGGAATAGCTAGAAAAAAAAAACACATTAATTTGGGTGTTTCCAGAAAGAATAAACATGGAGTCTGAATAGACTAGATGTAGAAAATGTGAGCTCTCAATGTGAGCAGGAGTGATCCAGTCATTAAGGAGTCCAGAGAGAATAAACACAGAAGACAAGTGGATCTCTTTTGAGACAGAGAAAAATAGACTTCTGTTTTCTTGGACACCAGAACTCATCTGCCTTCAGAGTCTAGGGTTTACATCAGTGGCCCTCTGGGTTCTCAAGCTTTCCAGATCAGGCTTTGAGTTACATCACCAGCTTCCCTGCTTCCGAGGCCTTTGGGCTTGGACTGATCCATGCTACCAGAATTTTAGGATCAATTAATAATACCTCACTACTATTTTCTTAAACACCCAAGGTGAGCAATTTTTATTTACCTTTTTATTTCTAAAGTATTTTATGGTACCCAGGAAAAATGAGGGCATATACATTCCTTGAGGATAGAATTAAAACAAAAACAAAAACAAAACACAGGTAGCCCCCTTTCCTTTCCAGGATACAGCCTTACTCTGTCAATAGAGGAAAACATTTCAGATGATGAAGACTATTTAATTGGCTATACTTAGAGCCATCATAAGACATAGATGATGGTATATAGCTAGTAACTTTTCAGAGGAGAGGAGAATATGCACTGATTAAGAATTCGGAGTAGAACCTTAGTATTTGGCAACATTTCAGTAATTATTTCACTGAACAGCTCAGCAAATACCTGCACCCCATATGTCTTCTATTTTCCTTCACACTTAAGACATTTCCCTAAAGGCTAATAAACGATGGGGACATCCCTAAAGAACAATAAGTATATAAAATTGACTCAAATATTATTACTTAACATTAAGTGCCAGCTGTCTATAACTTACAGCTTGCATTAATTCTTTGCCCTTGAGAATCCTATGTTTAAAATTTACAATGTTAAGAGAGACACAAAAAAGCAAGAGGAAAATTCAGGTATCCTGTCAATGAGCATTTCCCACTCACTCATTGACATATAGATGAAATGCTTAGTGTGAGTCAGGAACTATTCTAGGTTCTAGATCAAAAAAATAAAAATAAAAAAACCCAAAACGAATAATTGAGGAAGAAAAGATCCCTGTTTTTATGGGGCTTACAGTCTGGTAAAAGAATTATAAGTATAAACAGCTTTTGTGTATGCAGTTTCTCTGTGCTAACCATTTTCCATGCATTCATTGGGTCATCAGAAAAGTCATAATGTATTTTTGCATAGAAAAATATGTCATGACTTTTCCAACAACCCAATATTTATTTCTCCTATCAGTCAGATGAGACAGCTATTATCATCATAACCCCATATGGTACATGAGGTAGAGGCTCAAAGATAATAACAATTTGCTTATATAATTTTCTTAGCTACAGTTTTTTCAATTTCTAGAAATCAGGAACAGGTCCTGTACTTCTGTCTTCCTTAGCTGTGCTGGGAACATAGCAGGGTATAACTATCAATTGATGTGATAGAGATGACCTACAATCATTTTCCTGTTTCTTGGCAATAGGAAAAGGAGGTTGTATAACATTCCACCGTAGGATGTACCATTGCACATTCAGGTTGCTGGCACATCGTATGGCTTAGGCCAACTCAACCAAATTTATTTACTGTCTATGTACTGGGATGGTCCATATTTTACACAAATAGCTAAAGACCCAGTTCACCATTTCACACACTCAACGTTCATCATTTTTGTGCTTTGTTTCCAACAGCTTGTATTATTATCACAGAAAGCCCACAGTACTGTAGTGTTGTAGGGTACAACTAGTCCTTACGAAGTGACTGACTGCTATAAAATATGAAAGGGTTGATCTTTTTTCCAAAAGTAGGATCAACTCTTGGGTATAATTTGTTCTCCAGAGTTTCTCATAAAGCCAGGTCAAAGATAGCACTTTGCTTGAAATAATTCCCTTGTTGTGGCTCTTTCCTTTTCTTTCCTATTTCCTCCCCATCCCAGACTGATTTTTACTGAAGTACCTCAATAAATCATTTACATGTGAAGTTTCTTCTCAGTCTCTGCTTTAAGGAAATCAACTAGAAAAAAGACCATCAATCCTTTTAAAAGATGGAAAATGAGTTGAAACACCACTCTCTAAGGATGACATACGAATAGCCAAAAGGTATATCAAAAAATGCTCAACATCCCTCATTGTAAGGGAAATGCAGATCAAAACAACAATGAGATATCACCTAACCCCAGTCAGAATGACTAAGATAAAACAAACAAACAAACAAACAAAGAAATGCTAAGTGCTGGGGGTGGATGGTGAAAGGGGAACTCTCTTACACTTCTGGTGGGAATGTAAATTGGTGCAGCTACTGTGGAGAACAATTTGGAGATTCCTCAATAATCTACAAATAGAACTAACATATGATCCAGCAATCCCACTCCTTGGTATCTACCCTAAGGACAGAAGAACACTTAATCGGAAAAAGTGCTTGCACGTCAATGTTTATTGTGGCACTATTCACAATTGCCAAATCATGAAAACAACCCAAATCCCCACAAACAGATGAATGGATAGAAAAACTGTGGCACATATACTCAATGGAATACTATTCAACCATAAAAAACAATAAAACCCTGACTTTTGACAGAAAGTGGATGAATATGGAAGATTTACTGCTGAGTGAAGCAAGCCAAACTATGAAGGAGAGGCATTGTATGTCCCCACTTAACATATACCTAGGGTCCACACTCTGTGACTGAAATTAATTGACTAAAGGATATAGAAACACAGTATACAGTTGTAAATACCAGATATAGTGTATGTGAAAGACGAGGGTCTGAGGAAGGCCATTTAGAAGAAAAATAGGGAGGCAAAGCATTAATGGCACAAAGAAATGTGGTATTATCTGTTGAAGATATTTTGTATTTTTATCAACTGTACCAGGGAGAAATGTTCACCTGTTGAAATATCCATTTTGTAAGCCAAATAATGTGATTGAATGTATAAAAGAAAATGAAATTAAAAAATAAAATAAAATAAAATGTAAGAGAATATAAGTCAGAGTTTTCCAGAGAAACAGACCCAACAGGACAGGGAGAGAAAACACTTGATTTTAAAGAATCAGTTCACACAATGGTAAGGTCTGACAAATTTGAAATCTGTGGGGCAGCCTGGTAAGCAGAACATTCAGGCAAAAATTGATGCTCCGGGCTTGAGTTTGGAAATCATAGGACAAAACAGCACACTGGAAACTCAGATAGGAGTACAAAGTTACAGTTTTGAAAAAGATTTCTTCCTCTGGGAAATCCTAGTTTGTACTCTTAAGACCTTCACCTAGTTGATTGAGGCTCACCCATTTTATGGAAGTAATCTGCTTTGTTTGAAGTCAAATAATTGTAAATTTTTCATTACTTCTATTAAATATCCTCAGAACATCTCGATTAGCGTTGGACCAAACAAATAGGCACCAAAACATAGCCAAATCGGCACATTAAATTAACCATCACAAGGAAGGAAATTGGAAATGGTGGAACATACCCTCCTTGAGCTGGAGAACATTCACAAGAGCTCTGGAACAGCTACAGTTTTGTTCTGTGCTTACTTTTTCAATTCTCTTCTCCATGTAGATGGTCCAACATACATCTGAAGGTAAACAGAGTGACAGCAGAACTGTTCATGTGCCTCGAAACCTCTGAGACCACATGCATGACTCACTAACATAATAGATTCAGAGGCCTAGAAAGAAGTTTAAGAGCCCACTTGATAAGACTTATTATGAGATTTAGGAAGCAAGTCACTTTACACTCCCTTTGTACATACTTCCATAAAGCCATGTCCCTCTCTTTCATGGCACAACTTTTTGTTACACACCAATTTGCTTTATTATTTAGCAACTCTTGTTCAATCTAGTTAGAATGTAAGTTCAGTGAGGTGAGGGACTGATTTCAATTTTATCGTTTTATCCTCCAAATATGTGGCATATCTGGCATGATATGCATATATATATTTTTTTCATTTTTGGAGAGGTTTTTGCTACAGGGTGCGTGTGCTCGCCAGAAAGACAGAGAGAGACAGAAAGTGAGAAATCACCCCCCCAGGGGTGATGGCCACGTTGCAATCCCTTCTCCTCCATTCTCCTCTGGGGATCTTGGGCACACACGCATACACACCCAGCATGAGTTTAAGCCACTGGGTCTGGGACTCGAACCGCAGTTGACTACATGGGAGTCCACTGACATAGCCATTATGCTAACTGCTGGTCCCATGGCATGATAGATGTTTATTGCCAACTACATTAAGTTATTAATATAGATATTACCTCATTTAGATATATAAATAAATAATATCTTATACATTACATAATAAAATAATAAGTACAAATTATATCATTTTTATATGAATATAGATTAGATATATAGAAATAAAAAATAATACACATGCGTACATATATAAGGGATCTTTAAAAAAGTTCATGGAAATGCATACCAAAGAAACTACACATGGATTGCATGAAAATAAATTTGAAATGAATTCTATTTTTCCATCAACTTTTTGAAGTCCCCTCGTGTGTGTACATGCACACATTCAAATGCTTTATTAGTTTGATGGATGAATAAAAATTTTTAAAAAAGAACTTGAGGGACGTCCTGAGTAAAAATGCTTACACTTTATGTTTTTTCTGTTTCTATGTACATGACATTCCTTTAATAACAAAAATCTTCTATTTGTCACACAATGAGATTCTCCTGCCTTTTTGTAAAAGCTGAGGTAACACTCAGCCCTTGAAATCATCTTTGCTGGAAAATATATCAATATCAGTTTACTCTTTCTAACTCCAAACAGAAAAAAAAAGAAAAAGACAATCAGACAACAGGACAGGAGCAGTAGAAAATAATTGGACTCTCTAAATTGTACCATTCTCAAGAGGAATTACTGGCGCACATTGCTTCTTCCCCAGACCACACTGTGTATCCCTTGGAATCGCTACAGAAGCATTTTATTGCTCATTAAATATTTTTTAATGTGAATCCGCTCTTGGCATTTCTATTTTATAGTTTTTCTCACAAACCTTCCTGTGTTGCATACCTCCTTCCCCACTACGCGTAATTTAAAAGAAATTATGTAAGCTTATTCCTCTGATTAAGAAAGCCTAATGCACAAACACACAAAGGATACGACCAGGGTAGCTCTAGTAGCTAATGAATCTGGCAGTTTTAAGCTCATTCCCAATAAAAATGGGCCCCACAAATCACGATAAAAAATGTGTTTTGTACCTCAAGAGCCATAATTGTCACACATTTACAATTCATAACCAGTGACGGCAGGGTGCTCACTCTAGTTAATCCTCCATAGAATAGTGGATATTGATGCTGTGGAGAAGGGGCACACAGAATCATCTGTCACTTGAAATACACATTTGGGAAGACTCCCACACTAATAAAATCCTGAAATGTAGCAATGGGAAGCCAGATGCGTTCTTCTCCCTAAACTGTAAGTGGTAAGAAAAGGGAAGGTCTGAGATGCCCAGGCACCTTGCCTGGTACCGCTCACTCCGGGATTGCTGGCTGCAAAACAGTAAAGACAAAGCACGTAGTGGGACTGTCACAGAGTTAGGTGCCAAGCCTTCACTGTACCTATCTGGTCCTAAAAACATGAAGGCCGAGAAGCTCCCTGTCCTGACTCATTTGGTTCAAGCGCAACTGGTATATGATAAGTAGCCAGATAATTCAGTCCTCTTAATGAATGTTTAAAATACTTCCTATTTTTTTTTTTTTTTTTTTTAGCAAGCCAAAATGCTTATATGACTGTTATGGTAAAATGATTTCTAAATCTTAAAAATATTTAAATTTGATAAAATCTTTTAAAAAGGTTTTATTCAGCAATGTTGAGGTATAATAGACAAGTACTGAGTACAGTTATGGTATACAAAGTGATGTTTAATATATGCGTGTGTATGTGTGTACATACATAAAAAGTAGAATGATTATCACAGACTAACATATTTGCCCTCATATAGTCACATTGTGTGTGTGGTGACAACATTTATAATCTACTTTTGGGGCCAACTGGAGGCATGCTGGGTCATACATGGTTGACTGCACAGCAGTTCAAATCCAAGGCCCAGGGGCTTGAAAAACATGCCAAAGTGTGTGCATTTGTGCCCCAAATCCCGGAGGACAAGGGGTTTTGGTTTGATCATCCTTGCTGGGGGGTAATTTCTCACTCCTTCTCTCTCTCTCTCTCTTCCTCTATGGCTCTCCAGTAAGCGCATGCTCCCTATAGCAAAACTAAAAAGCAAAAACTACTGGGACCAGCAGTTAGCATAATGGCTATGTAGCTGGACTCCCATGTAGTCGACTGTGGTTTGAGTCCCGGACCCAGTGGCTTAAACTCACGTCGGGCATGTGTGCGTGCGTGCGTGCCCAAGATCCCGAGAGGAGAATGGAGGAGAAGGGATTGCAGTGTGGCCATCCCCCCTGGGGGGTGATTTCTCACTTTCTATCTCTCTGTCTCTCTCTGTCTGTCTGGCGAGTGCTCGCGCCCTATAGCAAAAAACCCCTCCAAAAAACTGAAAACAACAACAAAAAAACCCCTACTTTCTTAGCAAATTTCAAGTATATAATACAAATTGTTCACTATAGTCACTATACTGTGTTTTACATTGGATTTTCAAAATGTATTCTTCACATATAATTAAAATTTTGTAGCCTTTGATAAACAACTCTCTCCTTTCTACAGCCTCCAAGAACCACTATTCTACTCTTTGCTTCTATAAGTTTGACTTTTTATATTCCATGTATATGTGCTCTTACATTACCAAGACATGTAGATTTTCCCTGAAGTCTGTGTGAATGCACATCCCAATACAACTATAACTTTGGAAATCCAGGTCATTGCTCTGATAAGTTGTAGGCATTTGAAATGTGTTCTTGGTCTTTGTCTGCTTTGAAATGTTACTTAGGTTTGGGTGTGTGTGTGTGTATAAATATATATATATATATTGGGAGTTAAGCAAAGCATGTATATATATATATATATATATAGATAGATAGATAGATAGATACACACACACACACATATATGCATCTATCTATATATTTAATTGCCAGTGGGCACATGCACTCATGAGAGAGAGAGAAAGCACTCCCAATGGGGCATGGACACCTCTCAACGCCTTGTCTTTCATTTCCCCATTCTGTCAGGATTTGGGGCAACCGTGCACTTATGCCAGATGTATTTTTTGAGTCATCAGGGCTGGGATTTGAACTGTGGTTGACCATGATATTCAACTCCCTTAACCATTAGGCTATGCAGCAAGTTTTTTTAAAAAATTTTTTTTTGAGAACTTAAATGAAATTAGAAAAAGCTTTTTTTTGTTTTGCTTTTGCTTCATTTTCTATCTAACTTTCTATATTACACAAGGGAACTGTTTAGAGTGATCTGAAGACCTGTGAAATATATCCAGAGGGAACCTCAGATGGACTTGGCCATCTGGTTTTCTGCCCCTGAGAGCTAAGTGTCCAGCAGTTGCTTAGACATTTAAGCATAGGCACCTAAGTATAAAAAGGCCTTGACAAAGTCAGCTATCCTTTCTGTGGCCCTTCCACAATAAACCACCTTGCTGTCCTTTTCCTTTGTTCTTCCCAACCCTCTTTACCTAACCTGTTCTTCAGAGTGGCCACTCCTCATGTTTTCTCCTATAAAATCATGGCAGTTCACGATGCAAAAGAATGATCCTTCGCCTCCTGGGTTTGCAATTTTAACCACGCAAGCTTTTCAAGTTCAAGAAACAGAATCAAAATGCATTTTTATTCTATATTACAATAAATGTGAATATCAAAAGATTCTCCTCGTAGAGTTGTATGACTGCTGGCATTTGTAAAAAGCCAGAAAATCTTGAAATTTTAAGCAGAAATGTATTTAGTGTTTCAATTGACTCTTGATAAAGGAGAGAGGGAAAAAAAAAAGAAAAAAAACAATGACAAGTTGTGTTGCAGAATTTGATATTTCTTCTAAAGATATTTACTTTTCTGAGACTTAGATTAACTACAATGCTTGTTTCATGACACAAATGGTTCTATTTATTTGTTGATTATTATTTTTTTTTTTTGGAGAGATTTTCACTGTAGGGTGCGTGCGCTCACCAGACAGACAGAGAGAGACATAGAGACAGAAAGCGAGAAATCACCCCCCGGGGGGATGGTCACGCCGCAATCCCTTCTCCTCCATTCTCCTCTCGGGAACTTAGGCATGCACGCACACGCGCCCGGCGTGAGTTTTAAGCCACCGGGTCCGGGACACGAACCGCGGTCGACCACGTGGGAGTCCAGTGACATAGCCATTACGCTAACTGCTGGTTCCCCGATTATTTTTAATAACTAGGGAACCTACACCTATTATGAAAAGTAGAACCTTGAAAATCATTGAAATGAACTGTGAGGTCTTGTATCCTGTTTCTTTGCCTCCCCAAACCTGAGGTAACCATTACTGTAACTCTTACGTTGATCATATTCTGGGGAGATTGTGTATACATGCATGAGGTGTCTTCGTGCTCAGAAACCAGCAACACAAAGACTACGATTCTAACGTGCTGAGAGGTCTTAAAGTCACCTCAGAATCAAGTTCTCTAACTTGATTTCTCT